CTTGCTTCTCCCTCTCCTATTCCCATTCTTGTTTTCTACAAAGATCTATTTTCAATTAACTTTATACACATAAGATTAACCCTACACTAAGTTAAAGAGCTCAACAAACATTATAAAAAAAACTGTTCCTCAACAGTAAGACAAAAACTGTCCAAAATCATTACATTTCAAAGTAACAATTTCACTTTTATGGATTACCTGTATACATATTCTACTGGTTACCACTGATCAGGGAGAACACATGGCATTTGTCGTTTAAGGAGTGGCTTATTTCACTACGTATAATGGTTTCCAGTTGCATCCATTTTGTTGCAAGACAGTATGTATACACCATGGAATATATATGTATCATTTCTTTATCCAGTCTTCAGCTGATAGACATCTGAGTTGATTCCATATCTTAGCTATTACAAATTGAGCTGCAATGAACATGGGGGTACATATAACTCCTTCATGTGCTGATTTCATTTCCTTTGGGTAAATTTCCAGGAGTGGGATGTCTGAGTCATATGGTAGGTCCATATTCAGATTTCTGAGGTATCTCCATACTGTGTTCCACAGTGGCTGTACCAGTTTACATTCCCACCAACAGTGGATTAGGGTACCTTTTTCCCCATATCCTGGCCAGCATTTGTTATTTGTTGATTTCTGCAGGAAAGCCATTCTAACAGGGGTGAGGTGAAATCTCATTGTGGCTTTGATTTTTATTTCCTTGATGGCTGGTGATCTTGAACATTGTTTCATGCATCTGTTGGCCATTTAAATTTCCTCTCTTGAAAAATGCCCATTCAAGTCCTTTGCCTATACCTTAACTGGGTTGTTTGTTTTGTTGTTGTTGAATTTCTTGAGCTCTTTATATATTCTGGATATTAATCCTTCATCAGTTGTACAGTTGGCAAATATTTTCTCCTATTCTGTTGGTTGCCTCTTCACTTTGCTTAGTATTACTTATGCAGTGCAAAAGCTTCTCAATTTGATGTAATCCCATTTGTCAATTTTGGCTTCTACTGTTTGTGCTTCTGGGGTCTTTTCTAAGAACTCTTTGCCTGTGCTAACGTCTTGCAGGGTTTCTCCAACATTCTCTAACAATTTGATGGTATCAGGTTATAGATTTAGGTCTCTGATCCATTTTGACTAGATTTGTGTGTAAGGTAGGGGTTTTGCTTTATACTTCTGCATGTGGAGATCCAGTTTTGCCAGCACCATTTGCTGAAGACAATGTCCTTGGTCCAGGGATTGATCTTAGCTCTTTGGTCAAGGATAAGTTGAAGCTTATATATTAATTTGTGTACCCATGAACTTTCTGAAGACTTCTTGATCTTATTTACTCCTCAGAGTAGACTTCACCCAATAGAAATGGTAAAAGAAAAAAATCTACAAGCTCATAACAATAAGCATCCTTCAAATAGCTAGAACCAAAGATGAATGTCAGGAGGGACTGTTTCATAAATCCTAGAGTGTTTATTTAAAAAAAAAAAAGGCTAAGAGCAGGTTACAAAGGACTTTGCAAGCAAAGGTCAAAGGCATGAACTTTATCCTGTGGGCAGCTATGAGACATTTTTAAAACAGAGCAAGTGACTTTACCAAATCTATATTTTTTAAAAGGTGACTAATGTCAGAGTACATACAATATTTACAAAAAGAATATAAAACTATCATGAAAACTGATATTTTACTATGAAATATTAACGTAAAATTAGACTGAAACACTCACTCACTGGACTCATAGAAATATTACAATAGTATTATTAAAGAAATTCACATAGAGTATGCCTTGCAAAATTTTTTAAGAGGATAAGGAATTACATTTTAAAATCTTCCTTTTCAAACTCTTCACATTCCATATGTATACATTTTTCAAATAAAATTCACACTTTAAATAATATTTATGGGCATTAAGGCCACAGGATTTTTAAATATTTACCTAACCATTTAGAAAGTACTTAACATTTTAGGTATAGAAAAAGATCTCACTAACCTATGCCTTCCAAAACCTCAAATTCACCTAACTGCAGACAAAATGATCTCACTTAAGAGCTTAAAATACATTATAGAATATACAATTAAAATAGAATAAAAAAGGAGCTTTTTAATTCTGTTCAAAGTTTTTATATAGACAGCTTTTTTTTAACTTCCAATTAATTTCAGCTGACTCTGACAGACTATCAACTTAGTACTTCTTTCCATTAGCCATCAAAGCAGAACACAGCAGTAACCAGATTTAAATTTTAAATCTCTAAATACTTTGAAAATAAAAAGGAAGAAATCTTATTTAAATAACATATACAAAGCATTGAAGTCAAATATTATAAATTAATTAGGTCACTGTTTTCCAACATGACACCTAATATAATATCCCAAATGTTCAAAATTACTTTAAATACATTTTCACACAACTAAAAACATTTATATTGATAAGATTAAGGGACAATCAAGGATCTTAATAGATTTTTAACTTCTTCAGGAAACAAAAGCATAATAATTTTGTTATCACAAAATGAATTCACATTTACTTTTTAAAAGAAAGTTCTCCCTAGCCAAATAAATGTAGAACAAATGTTTATCTTTTCTAATCATCACATGTTGGAAAATTCAGGTTAGAAATATTAGCATTCAACATTAAAGTAAAACTACAAGAATTACTGATTTGTAACTTTTCATTTATAATGTTTTATTTATATTTATAATACATTTTGTTTATTCAAAAGATAAACTAAAAGAAATTAATTTTAGAAACGTATGGAACTCAGCTATTAGGATCCCTGATTTGACAGGACATGAGACTCAGAAAGGTTTTCCAAGATTAAACAGTAGAGCTAAGACTTGACATCCCCCACCCCTGTTGGACCCAGAGCACTTTGTCCCAAATCAGGGTCCACCCAAAATCTTTTTGCATTTCTTCACTTTCTGAAACAAAGTGTTTTTACCATTGTCACTGAAGATCCTTTGAAAATTAGGAAATCTCCTGACTTTTTACTTCCAGAGAAGTACTGATTTCTTCTTAATTTCCTTAGAAAATTTACATGTGCACGTGTGTGCACACACACAGAGACAAATTTCAGAAATATGCATAATGAAATTCTTTATATTACAACCTCTGCTAGGTTCAAAATATCCTTTTCTAGTAATGTCAAAATACCATTATTTTGTGACCCTGAACATTAAGTAACTATGTATAAATTCCTAAGCAATTAGCACATATTTTAGAACTCCAAAAATGTTTCTATTCAGAGGAGAACATGAATAAGGGTTTTCTTGCAATAATAAAATACGCCTTTTTTAGAAGCATAAATTGTATTTTCTACTAATACAAAGAACAGATGAAGTTATCTAACACTGTTCCTAGTTAAAGGTTCACAAAGGTTGCTGTGACTGAAAGAGCACCACATTGACCTTAAGACCAGAAATTTTCAATTTACAAGTGTAAAACTACAATTGAAATATGTTAAGTTATAACGCTGTTAAGTTCAGGAAAATTATCTACAAATGTAATGAAATTGTGCTAAAACAATTTTCCAATCTAGTTACATTTAGTAAAATGTTATTCCACTCTATGAAAATACTTGCACTGAATTCCCTATGAATTCGATTTTCCATGAACATTTTGAAATGCCCTCATACTTGCTCTACGGTGAATATTCTCAGAATAATTTTTCTTCTGATACATATTTTTCTAAGTAATGTCGACTATCGCTGGTCAGAAACAGAAAACAAAGGGCATAACAATATTGTTTTCCAAGCATCTGGCCAATTACAGGCCACAAAAACAGCCTCTGAAGCCATTTCAAGAAAAGTGTCAACTTATTGGAACACCATTATATAGTCAGTGCCTAGTATCTCACAAAATCAAGGTGGTAGCCTGTAGACTATTCTGAAAAGATTACAACAGATGAAAAGATAAAGAGAGAGAGAGAGGTAAGTGCCTCAGGTGTAGTCAGGACAAGAAACTTGTTTCCAACATACTGGGTCCCAGTGTAAAACATGCCACTAATCAAAAAATTCTGGAAAAAAATGGTAAACACTCCTACACTTACCCTTTTAGTTTCACAGAACACAACACTGAGAACTCAATATTGTAATCAAACCCCCAGGACTACCACTTACTAGATGTGTGAAGTTGGGTAGTCTCTAAAAGCTGCAATTCACTCACCTCTAAACTGAGGCTAATGTCATCTACCAAGCATGATGCCTGTGAGGATTTGAGACAACATATGTAAAGCATTTTCCACTGAGCTTAGTGAATATTAACTATGCTTACTGAACCTTGTGGTGATGTCGAACAGGTAAATTTCCCAATGCTATATAAAGACATAAGTTCATTCCCTGATGATTTCAATTCTTTACAAAAATTTTAAGTCTCTGAAGAAAAAAAAAAAAGAAACGCTTTTGACAACTTTCCAGACATTACTAAGCTTAAGCTGTTAAAAGATTACCCTAATTTTGCAACAAATACACACAACACAGTGAGTTAGTGTTGAAAAAATACACACACACACACACACACACTCACACAACTCTAGCAGGCTATATGGCTGGCTTTCTGTCTGAACGACTGAGTCTCAGTTCCAAACTGTTCTTTCCAGGTGACGCTCTCAGATTCCCCCCTCGATTATCATCACTGGCGAAAACTCCCACAGTCTCCCCTCAGGCTGAAGGCCGCACGCTCCGCTGGGGCAGATACCACCAGCAAAGTGATACTGGCACCAAACAAGAGCGTGCCCGCCTCATTCCTCTGAGAAGCAGCCCCCCCACCCCCATTACATACACAAAGTCGCTTAAAATGCAGCCTGCTTAGGGGGCTATTTCAGGGCCACTCAAAGGACAAAACTTGCTTCTGCGTTCTGCAAACGCTTCCTGTAATTGAGGAATCCCTTCCAGGATAAAACATGACTTCCTCCCCTTTGCTCCCACTTCCAAGACGCTCCCTGCACTCGCGCACCGCAGCGCCAAGGCCGACGGCGCGCTCGCCCCCGGGCGGCCCGACTCCCGGGCCAACATACCTGCTCTCTGGAAATACAAGGCAACGACGGTCGGCGGAACATCTTGCCACTGCCATAGTAACTGGCGCCGCTCTCTCCCAGCGAAACGCAGCTGGACCTCCGCCGGGGTCGTATCACAGGCACTTTTTCGTCCACGGCGCTGGCCAGCCGAGGATGGAGAGGCGCTTCCCTGATCTGAAAGAAGTGATCCAACCCCAGGGCCAGCAGACAGCCTGCGCTCCCGACCAGGCAAGAGAGCAGCGGCCGAAGGACCGAAGGCAGCGAGCCCAGGCTGGTGACGGAGACCCACCAGACGCAGCTGGCGAAGAGCAGCAGCGCCGGGATGCTGTGGCGGAGCCTCGCAGGCTGCGCGAGCGTCAGCAAACCCACACAGCTCAGCACCAACACCAACCTGCCCGCCACCGCTGGGGGCGCGTGCGGGCCGGGGGTCTCGGCCCCCCACGGCCAGGACCACCACGGCCACCCCAAGAGGTCCCCCAGGTAACAGCAGGCGGGCAGCGCCAGCACCCACCAGGAGCCGCCGCCTGGGCCCAGGTCGGGGCCCCGCTGGGTCCGAGTCAGGAAGCAGGTGAGGAAGAAGAAGGCACAGGCGATGCTGAAGAGGGGGCTGAGGCTATGCGAGCACACGCTCAGCAGCGTCCGCAGCTGGGCGGCCCCGGTAACCCAGCTCTCGGGCCCCGCGCCGAGCAGCCCAGCGAGGACAAAGGCGGCCAGGGCGCCCAGCGAGAGGCGCGCCCGGGAGAAGCGGGAGCGGGAGCCGCTGGGGAGAGGCCGCTGGGGAGAGGCCGGCGCCGGCGGCGGCAGCTCCACGTTGCAGAAGCGGCAGAGGTGGAAGAAGAAGCCGCGCGGAGGGTCCTGCCGCAAGGGGCTCACGCAGCTCTTCACGTAGCCGTTCCTCAGACTCCCGGGGGGCGAGCCGGCCCCGTCCGGCGGCTGCGGGTACCGCATGGCTTTGGCGTCTCGCTCCTCTCCCCTCATGGCCAGGGGTGGCCGCGGGGCTCAGCACGCCCAGCTCGGACTGCAGACAGCCGCTCGCGCTCCCGGACCCCCGCCACCGAGTTCTGGGCGCCCCCCGGCTCGTAGCGCGTCAGAGCTGCGCCCGTCGCCGCGGCCCGGGGTCTCCGCCGCGCGGGCCGAGGAGCGACAGAGTCCGCGACATGCTGGCTCAGGAGAGCGGCGGAAGGGGCTTCTCTCCGGGACCGCGTCGGCTGCCGTCTCCTTTTCCCTCGGGCAACTCTGGGGACTGAAGACTCGGTGTCGCCTCCCAGCTCCCGTTGGCTGCAACAGTTAACCTCACGGCCCCAGCCTGGTCCGTTGGGCGCGCGAGCGGCAAGCGGGCGCTCCTCCCCCGCGGCAGCTCCGGCCGGGCACGCGCCCTGCCCGCCGTCCGCGCGCGCCCGCGTCTGGCCCGCCAGCACCGGCGCCCGCCGCCACCAACAGGGACGCGAGATCGGGACCCCCCCGAGTGTGTGAGTGTGGGGCAGGAGAGCGCGGCCGTGGTAGTCCGGGGGCCGACTGGGGCTGGGAGAGACGACGGGGTCGTCATCGGATGGGAAGGGCAAACCCGCCAACCTGGGACCCCAGACACGCAGGGTGTTTTGAGGGGAAGTCAGAGGTGTCTAGCCAGGCTCCGACAGATCACCACTGGGGTCTTGGGGAAAGAGAGGACGTTTGTGATCCCCAAAAGGAGTGCCTAGTGGGGATACCGAGCCCAGAGTGGGAGGGGCTGCCTCTAACCTCAGCCCAGTTCGGGGTGGGCCCTGGGACTGTGTGAGCAGAGCTGTGACCAAGTGAGGGCCCGTCATCACCAAGGCCACAACCCAGAACCTCTAATCACGGTGGGTAGGTATGGCCCCAGCTGCAACGTGTTTCCTTGAGCCACGCAGCAGGCCCAAAATCCCTGCAGTGGCCCTTAGGGAGGGTGCACGTGGCGGGCACTCTGGAAACATCCAAATCTTGCTTCACAGGCAAGGAACTGACGTCACGTCCTCCACCTTCCACCCTTGCCATACATACGCAATGGTCAGTCTAGTTCCCCTCTAACATGGCCTGTAAGATTTGCTGTTGCAAATGTCCTTTCCAAATTGAAAGCTTTTTCACTATAACAGCAAGTTCTAGAGAGGGGGGATAGGAACATTAGGTGTTCTCGCCAAGACCACTCCTCAGCTGTGATCCATTGCCCTTCAAAAGCCAAGTAAGATGCTATCTGTAAAGTAGTGGTGAAACGAGCAACGTTAGGAAATGCTGACTTCAAAGTGAGAAGAACGTTGCAGTACCAAAGGGACTGCTCTGGAATCGCACCAATCATAACTGCCTTAGAGGGTGAACTGTGTTTCCCTCCACCGAAACTCCCTCCAGCCTCATGACAGAACTGCATTTCTCAAAAAGCTAATTCCACATTTTTCCAGGGAGATGAGAAACCTTACTGTGTGGTAAATCCCACAAACAGGCCCATTTTTCACCAATTAATCTCTGCCCACAGCCATGACCTAACACACCATTTTCATATATGGTCAGAGTTCACATACATAGCAGAAATCACTGTGAAATTAGCTCAAGAATTTGATCAAGAGACACGCATACAAACAAAAACAATTACCAGCTTCCTTTCCTTTTCTATACATTGAATAAAAGAAAAAAATAGTTTTCTAATTTATAAACCAAATGCTTTCCTAAAAGGTAAAGAGTCCATCAAGGGCCGGTGCTTCGGCTCAATAGACTAATCCTCCACCTTGCGGCGCTGGCACACCGGGTTCTAGTCCCGTCGGGGCGGCAGATTCTGTCCCAGTTGCCCCTCTTCCAGGCCAGCTCTCTGCTGTGGCCTAGGAGTGCAGTGGAGGATGGCCCAAGTGCTTGGGCCCTGCACCCCATGGGAGACCAGGAGAAGCACCTGGCTCCTGGCTTCGGATCAGTGCAGTGCGCGGGCCGCAGCGCACCAGCCGCAGCGGCCATTGGAGGGTGAACCAACGGCAAAGGAAGAACTTTCTCTCTGTCTCTCTCACTGTCCACTCTGCCTGTCAAAAGAAAAAAAAAAGAGTCCATCAAAGCTTTCTTCCACTATGACAATAACATGTATAAACCTCACTAACACCAGATGAAGACTGAGTATGAAACTTTAAAAATTTTATTTATTAAATTTGAGAGGCAGAGAGTGACTCCCACCTGCTAATTCACTCCTTAAGTGCCCCAAAACCGGGGAACTCATTTCAGCTGTACATGAGTGCCAAGGACCCAAGTACTTGAGCCATCACTCACTGACCTCTAGGAGTGCACATTAACAGGAAGATGTAATTGGGAGCAGACACCCCAACCAATAGCTTAACCTTTAGACCAGTTGCCCACCCCACATGTAGGAAACTTAATGGATACAGCCAGAGCCTATAGAGAAGGGCAGGACAAAACTAGCAAAATGTAATATTGAAATGCCATTATAAATTCTTATAGGAGAGGGGCTGGTGCTGTGGTGTAGTGGGTAAAGCCACTGCCTGTAATGTTGGCATCCCATATGGGCACCAGTTCAAGTCCTGGCCACTCCATTTCTGATCTAGCTCTCTGGTATGGCCTGGGAAAGCAGTTGAAGATGGCCCAAGTCCTTGGGCCCCTGAACCCACATGAGAGACCCGGAAGAAGCTCCTTGCTCTTAGCTTCATATTGGCAAAGCTCCAGCCATTGCAGCCATCTGGGGAATGAACCAGCAGATGAAGACCTCTCTCTCTCTCTCTGCCTCTGCCTCTCTGTAATTCTGCCTTTCAAATAAATCTTAAAAAAAAATTCTTGGAGCCAGCGCTGTGGCACAGCGGGTTAATGCCCTGGTCTGAAGTGCTGGCAGCCCATATGGGCGCCGGTTTGAAAACTGGCTGCTCCTCTTCTGATCCAGCTCTCTGCTGTGGCCTGGGGAAGCAGTAGAAGATGGTCCAAGTCCTTGGGCTCCTGCACCTACGTGGGAGACCTGGAAGAAGCTCCTGGCTCCTGGCTTCAGATCAGCGTGGCTCTGGCCATTGCGGCCATCTGGGGAGTGAACCATTGGATGGAAGAGCTCTCTCTCTCTCTCTCTCTGCCTCTCCTCTCTCTGTGTAACTTATATTTTCAAATAAATAAATAAATCTTTAAAAAAAATCTTAAAGGAGATAATAAATTGATTTAGTATTAGAGCCAATTAAGATTAAAGTTTTTGGTTTTTTTTGTTTTTAAATCCAAGGATGTTATCTGAGGTAAAACAGACAAGTGGCAAGAATAGTACTGGATTAGAAATACAGTTTCATGAGTTTCAGTCTGGGCCCAACCTTTTACTACCCGGCTTTAAGCAACTTTTACAGGTCTCATCCTTCTGAAATGTCAAATAGAACAATTTAATTTAGGTGATCTTCTGGTCTCAGAAAACTGTGTTTTGTTTGTTTGTTTTAGCAAATTGTGTTGAAAATATGAAGATACAGAAACGCCTACACCTGATAGGCCAAGAAGGCATCTCAGAAGCAACTCAGAACCCTGTCCAAAGTCACGCTGGAGTTTTCATGAACTTAAGTATGAGTTCCCCATTTCTTGTGCCTCTATACCCTTTCTGGGATACTACTAGATAGAGGGCTTTCTGATAGTGGAATTCCTCCCAGAAATTCTTAGTAGTTTCCTATGTGAAGGTCAGATGAACTTTCCCTGAGCTGCCCCCAGGGAGAGAGGTGAAACCCATCTAAATTTTTTTTAAAGATTTATTTATTTATTTATTTGAGAGTCAGAGTTACACAGAGACAGGAGAGGCAGAGAGAGAGAGAGAGAGGTCTTACATCCGGTGGTTCACTCCCCCAGTAAGCTGCAACGGCTGGAGCTGTGCCAATCTGAAGCCAGGAGCCAGGAGCTTCTTCTGGATCTCCCACATGGTGCAGGGGCCCAAGACTTGGGCCATCTTCTACTGCCTTCCCAGGCCATAGCAGAGAGCTGGCTCGAAGTGCAGCAGCTGGGACGCAAACGAGCAACCATATGGGATGCCAGCACTTCAGGCCAGGGCATTAACCCACTATGCCACAGCACCAGCCCCCAAAACCCCTAAATTTAGGGTTATAAAACAAGAGCAATTACTTTAGATAAGGAATTCCCCTAAACAAACAGACCTCTCTGAATGATACTGACCATCAAGTTTCTTACCTATTGGAGAAGTAAGTGATTACTTCATTCCAGTGATCTGTTTCTCCCATTTTCTCTCTCCAATTCTCTTTCAAATAAATAAAATCTTAAAAAAAAAAAAAAAAAAAAAAGATTGTCTTACCCTGTCTGAAGGACTGGTCACACTGTCTGGTGTGATAGGCTGGAAGTCCTGCCTTAAAATCATCTGGAGTTGGATGGCTTTTATTCTGTTAGAGACAAAGCAAATAAGGGCATTAAAGACTCGTGGTATAAAGAGAAGCAGTAAAAGAAGGAAAGTATAGGGTCAAGGAGGAGCAATAGCCACAATTTCTATTACCAGGTGTTAGGCCAAAAATTTCAATCTTATTCAGCCTAGTCCTGGAGTTGTCTGGTCTTGTCCAAGAAAGTGGGAACATGCTTTTGTACCTGTTTAGTTTGACCCAAGAACATTTTAGAAACAGGGTATAGACATACCCTTGGGCAGCAGTTAGCATGTCTAACTGCCTGCCTGCTTTGAAGGACTAGGTTTAACAACCCCAGAACAGAGGCCCTCATATGCTCCCCAGGGCCAGTCTTTGTTCCCCAGGGTGAGGATGGACAAGAAATAGCTTACTTCCTGACAGACCAGTTGTGTTTTGTTTGTTTTTTTTTCCTGCATACTCATTATGCTAAGAAGTTAAGGGTGTTAGTCAAATGCCCCAGATGGAGTCTTAGGTGGGAGAACAGATGAACAAATCATCTACATTGCATTATTTTTTCACCCTCCCTCAAGATAGGTTGATTAAGTTTCTCTATGAGGGCTTGCTCAAATAGGTGCTGTCTATAAATCCTATCATCACACTGTTAAGATTAGCTGTTGCTTTATGCTCTGTTTGTTAATGAATTTAAAGGCAAATAGAAACTGACAGGAGGGTCTTTATAATAATCAGGTAGGTATTAAGGCCTGGCCAGATATATGGGTGGCCTGGACCTATCTGTTTCTTCACATAGAGTACTATAAGAGACATTACAGGGTGGTGTGAACCTCTTCAAGGAAGATAACCTGTTAGCTCCCATTGCCTGTCTGGCCTGAACAGGTTAATACAGAATAGGCAGTGTCTCTAAAAGAAAACTTATGACCTTGCCTACAATGTCACTGACTCTAGGCTGTCCCCTGAGTAGCATTCAGGAACCTCAGCAGAGTTAAGGACTTTTTCAGCTTAGGGTCAACAGGGTCTGCAGTTCTGACCTGGAAGTTCTTTGACCCCATGGCAGTTCCAAATTCAATGACCCAGCTCTTACCAGAGCTGTCAGAGCTCTTCAGAAGCTGTCTTCTGTCACCACAGCTGTTTGCTCAATTTCCTGGTTTCCTACAGGCGCTATTTGGGGGTGAACTGGTCTTATTGGGTCTCCTTAATGGAAGATCACTGTGTAAAGCAGCTATTAATTGGACTGCCACCTATCCTTCCATTACTCCTGCTACCTAGCTTGCTCCTCTACCTGCTAGTCTCTGTTAAAGCAGTCCATAAAGGTGACCTTTAAGGTTTAGCCAAGGGGGTGTATGGTATGATTTCTGTATGTCAAGAGTATATAGGCATTCTTAGGATTCACCTTGCCAGGAGAACCTTTGAATTATTTGTACTATCAACTAAGTCAAATTCTGTTTTGATAAATAAAAAATGAAGGAAAGGGCAGGTGTTTATAATTAAGTCACTGATTAGGACACCCACATCCCATATTGGACTGCCTGGTTCAAGCTCCAGCTACTCTGCTTTGGATCCAGCTTCCTGCTAGTGTGCAGGGCAACAGATGATGGCTTAGGTACTCAGATGAGAGACTCGGGTTGAGTTCCCAGTTCTTTGTTTTGGCCTGTCTCAGCCCTGGCTGTTTTGGGCATTTGAGGAGTCATGTTTCTTTCTCTTTCTTTTTCTCTCTCTCTCTAATAAAATGAAAATAAAATTTTAAATGAAGGGATTTGTATAACAGGACTTTTCTAGGAAGTAAAAACCAATGCCTTCTTCATAAAATTGCTTTACTTGCCAATTCTTTACACTTCTTTTAGCTGTCATCCAGGTCTTTGTGAGGCTCAAACTCAACTCTTTGAATAACCCATAGCTGGAATGCATCCTCCTGAATGCCAACCCAGCACCTAAAATAAAATGTAAGAATGGAACCAAACATCATGAGAACTTAACTAAAAGTATGCACAAAAAGAATGAGCTAGCTATGTTTATAGCAACTCCCTTCTCTGTTTACAGTCTTTGTTTAAGATTATTACTAGGCTGCATTTCTTAAAGGTCAAGTTATTTAATTATTATTCTGCCGAATGTAAAATAACCAATAGAATTACTTAGCTCTTGTCTTTCATTTCAAGAATTTGTACTGATTATTTGTTTGGAGGAAAAGTCCTTAAGCTAAAGCATACCTTTGAGCACTCTGTAACCCAGCCTCATTTTACTTTGCATTCCCTCATATCTTGACCCATAATCTATCCACTTTCTAGTGGATCTCTCCAATCTCCTGATTTGATGATCCATGGAAACTTGATGGTTACCATCTGTCTACTAAGTCAGTCTGGGGCAACACAATCCTTATTCTCAAGCTCCAAAGACCCAGTTGTCTCATGAGTGCCAATTTTTAGGGTGGAAATTTTGTTTTGTTCTCCTTCTAAAGTATCCACACCAGTAATCTAATGCCTCAGTGACTGTCGGAGAATTCTGCCTAGGTTTTTGCAGTCTCGGGGTCTAACACCCTGCCCCATGCGTTAGTTGAAGTTTGTAAGAACTATGTTAACATTTACAGCCCCTCTAGATGCCACTTGCCTCTCATCTGTTTAACCTTACAAGCACCACTTCGGACATCCCATTACTGGGTTTAGCTCAACTGTTAGAATGCCTGCTTCTTCAATGGGAACCTCTGGTGCTGATGATTGGTAGTTTGGTAAATGTCCTCTCTAAATGAGGTTTAGTCCTCTGTCCAGTCATTATTGCTTGTCAGACAGAAGTCTCATAATCAGACAACTCCTCAGGATGATATCTGGAAGTTTGTAAAGACTTGTTAAGAGCAGTTGAAAAGTAAAGAATAATGGTTAACAGCTCTTTAAGAGCTTTACATTATTATTCTCATTCTATATTGTCACCTTTCAATCACAGTGTTAACTATTTTTCAAAATAAATGTCATACAAAAAAAGCAGACTACTCTTATTCAAGTGCACGTGTCCAGAACCAGAGCCTGACAACTTAGTAGGTCTCTGGCACCTCGTGCTCTAAAGGAAAGCCTCTCTTTGGAACCACTGAATTAAAAAATAAATGGATATATTCAAATCTCTAAAACAGACCTAAAAAAATGAATGTGTACTTGGGAAAATGTCTAAAAGAACGGATTGCTGTTTCTAAGTGTAATTTCCCAGAATTCGATGATAAAGCAGCCTGAATTTCTCAGAAATAATGATATAAAGTAGTCTGATAAATTTTAAACATCAAAGAAACTTTCAGAAATAGGTAGTAAATTAACCACTGTCATTGAAATTCCAAATATCTAAAACTGGGACCATTTTTATGGCATAGCAGGTAAAGCCCTTACTGGCAATGCCAGCATCCCAAATGGACACCCATTCATGCCCCTGCTGCTCCACTTCCTATGCAGATCTCTGTTAATGGCCTGGTAAGGCAGCAGAAGATGGCCCAAGTGATTGGGATCCATCACCCATGTGTGAGACTTGGAAGAAGCTCCTGTCTTGGGGCCATCAGGAGTGAACCAGTGGGTAGAAGATATCTCTGTCTCTCCCCCTCTCTCTGTAACTCTGACTTTCAAATAAATAAATCTGTATCTTCTATGTTGTTTTTCGACAGGCAGAGTGGACAGTGAGAGAGACAGACAGAGAGAAAGGTCTTCCTTTGCCATTGGTTCACCCTCCAATGGCCGCCATGGCCGGCGCGCTGCGGCCGTTGCACCGCGCTGATCCAAAGGCAGGAGACAGGTGCTTCTCCTGGTCTCCCATGGGGTGCAGGGCCCAAGCACTTGGGCCATCCTCCACTGCACTCCCGGGCCACAACAGAGAGCTGGACTGGAAAAGGAGCAAAACGAACAGAATCTGGCGCCCCAACCGAGACTAGAATGCGGGTTGCTGGTGCCACAAGGTGGAGGATTAGCCTAGTGAGCCGCGGTGCCGGCCCAAATAAATAAATCTTAAAAAAAAAAAATACCAGCCGGCTCTCTCTCTTGTCTAACTTTGCCTGTCAAAAAAAAAAAAAAAAAAAAAAAAAAAAAAAAAACCAAATGTTTAAAACTAGATTCATCCCTTAAGTTAAATGAAAGTTTTTAAAATAAAGAAAGAATTAACATTGACAAACATACTGGAAAATAAAAACAGAATAGTTTCTCTCCAGTACAGAAAATATGGTTCTGCTTTGTGCAGGAGCAACTCTGTTGCCCAAATATGTGAACACTAGCTGTTTTCCTTCCAACTAACACCCATCTCAGAATCTGAACCTCCCATTGACTCGCTTTTAGTTCATCTCACAAATGTTTATTGAGTGCCCACCATATGCAGAGCGCTGTGCTAGATGTTATATGGAACATTTAAAAACTCCAAAAGTTCCTTAGGAGCTTCCTCAGAGCTGCTGCTTTACCTGGGAGTAGGGTATATGCACATAGACTATTCAGGAGCACAAGAGAATAAACACTCTTGGGAAAAATGTTTCAGGACTATTAAGAAGAGAGTCATTCCTTTCCAGAGATGCAGCTGATGCAGTTGTCTGAGCTTGTTCCCACTATTTGTTTCTCCTTCTCTGTCGGTTCCAGTTCTCTCCTTTACTGTCTTCTTTCTTTCCCCGGTGCCTGTCCAGATAGCTGTCTTCCTGTTTCTCTCCCCTCTGCCAAACCCTCTCGATTTTGTCTCTACATTTAATTCCCTCATTTCTTTTGCTGTGTTCTCCTATGTACCATCTCCCTCTACCAATATTTAATCTCCCTCTCTTAGTGAATACATTCATTCATTCCACCTTTTTACAGTGCCTGACGTCCTAGAAACTGTCCTAGATGACAAAGATATAATGATGAAAGTATGACTCTAAGTGGAAGCTACAAGAGTAAAAAGACTTCTAGAGCCCATTGTAGTAGGAGCTGTGATCAGTAAGTGGGCTCAGTGTCATCTGGGAGCTCAGAGGAGGGGCACCTAACCCAGACCCTGGTGGAAATAGCAGGTGAAGAGTAATAAGAAGAGTTGAAGAAAATGATTTCCGGGTTTAGTACTGAAAGATGAAAGAATGTTATCTAAATAAAATCGAAAACATAACCTGGGCAAAGGAAGCAACAAAGTACAAAAATCTGGAAGAAGGCAAGCACAGTGCCTGTGGGTAATTCAAGCATCCTAAGATTGCAAGGTATGGGAGGACAAAGAACACAAGTGTAAGATATGAAGGGGCTAGAGAAATGATGGGACCCTAATGTTGAACTGAGGTGTGTTGTTACCATTTGTTATAAAAAGGTGTATGTTCATGTGTATTTACATGGCTTCCTTGTGATGTGCTCTTCAAACACATGAACTCCGCCTTATTCAATCTTAGATCAATCTCCAAATGACTAGTGTAGTACCCAGCCTATATATAGCAAGGGCTCAAAATCTTTTTCAAGTATGTTTATATTTCTCAAAACAATTTTAACAAATACGGTTTTTAGGGTTTTTTTTTTTTTTGCCTTATTAAACAATGAATGTTTTTGAAAAGATTTATTTATTTATTTGAGAGGTATAGTTAGGGAGAGATCCAGAGAGACAGAGAGGTCTTCCATCCACTGGTTCACTCCCCAAATAGACACAACAGCCAGGGCAGGCCAGGAGTCGGGAGCCAGGAGTTTCTTCCAGGTCTCCCACATGAGTGCAGGGGCCCAAGCACTTGGGCCATCTTCTGCTGCTTTCCCAGGCACATTAGCAGTGAGCTAGATCAGAAGTGAAGCAGCGGGGACAACTGTTGCCCACAGGAGATGCCAGCATCGCAGGCAGTGGCTTAACCTGCTACATCACAACACTGGCCCCTAAATAATGAATTTTAATAGAAAACTGTTAAAATACTGTTTAGGAGCCAGTGCTGTGTTAGCAGGCAAAGCCACTTCCTGCAGTGCTGGTATCCCATATGGGCGCCAGTTCGAGTCCTGGCTACTCTACTTCCAATCCAGCTATCTGCTGTGGACTGGGAAGGCAACAGAAGATGGCCCAAGAACTCAGGCCCCTGCACCAAGCTCCTGGCTCCTGGCTTCAGATCAGACCACCTTCAGCTGTTGCGGTCATTTAGGGAGTGAACCAGCTGATGGAAGATATATATCTCTCTCTCTCTCTCTCTCACTCTCTCTGCCTCTGCCTCTCTGTAACTCTACCTTTCAAATAAATAAATATTTTTAACAAAGAAACATAGAATCACATATGAACCAGCAATTCCACTTCTACATATATATACAAAAGCACAGACAGAAGAATATTATTTTAAAAATATATAATATTTAATAGCAAAAGGGTTGCATATTGTTGGAAATATTTTTCTTAACATCCATTTTCAGAAAATCAGTAAAAGAACCCTTTCAATTAGAGTCAATGAAAAAATAGTATACATATGTTTGTGTTTGATTTAATTTCCAACATAAAATAAATGTTTAAGAAATGTGCAGGTGATTTTTAAACTTTAATTCAAGTAATGGTATCTATAAAATTTTTTGCCATGAAAGAGTAAATTCTAGTACTTTAAGAATTTCCCTTCTCGATTTCTAATTTTCAAAGCAACAGATACATCTATGATGCAAACTCACTTTTCAAATATAACAACCAGGAAAAGTATTAAAGCTATACCTATTAATCTGAAATTTCCTGGATTTTTGTTTTAAACCTAAAACCTAAATCTTGAACAATAAACAGCAATGCAGACTCTTTCCAAGTTTTCCTGTTCCCTCCTTAGACAAGCAGGAGTTTCTTTAGCTCTGGCTATCCCAGCAGATCTGAAGGATCACAGCCACGAAGGTGGCAGCCTACCGTTGACACTGAACTTGTGGTTAATTGTGGAGTTCTGCCACAAAACCACCTCACTACCACAAACTGGATATTTGCCCAGGAAAGTGACAAACTGCCAGGCCCAGCAATCTACAGGAGGCAGCAAGAGCAA